GAATGTCTAGTCGATACTGACATCGCTTGCTCCTGTTCAGCATGTTGTTACTTGGGGGCTTAGGGCAGAGAGAATCTAAAAATACGATCTTCTTTGTGCTGCGATTCACGGCAAACATCACCCAGTGCTGACCGGTGTTGAAGGGCACCAGACATATGTCTGCTGGTGCGTTCTTCATGATCTCGGCAGCAAGTACTCGAGACACTGGCCACCTTCGCATCGTGGTCAGCGAATGTGTGTCGAAGATCGTCACTTTTGCCTTTGCGTGATGTGCCAGTTTCAATAGATACGCATCGATCACAGCATCGGTGAGCCACTCACCATCCTCTGTGCTTTGAAGGTCGGAAGCTAAAAGGGCGACATTACCTAAGCTCCAACTCCTCTCAACCGGCTTCACTCGTACATCCGTGTCACCACTCCTCTTCACCGGCTTCACTCGTGCATCCGTTCCGGTGTCCTCAGTCCTCACTCCTCTTCACCGGCTTCACTCGTGCATCCGTTCCGGTGTCCTCAGTCCTCACTCTTCTTCACCGGATTCACTCGTGCATCCGTTCCGGTGTCCTCAGTCCTCACTCCTCTTCACCGGCTTCACTCGTGCATCCGTTCCGGTGTCTTCAGTCCTCACTCTTCTTCACCGGCTTCACTCGTGCATCCGTTCCGGTGTCCTCAGTCCTCACTCTTCTTCACCGGCTTCACTCGTGCATCCGTTCTGGTGTCCTCAGTCCTCACTCCTCTTCACCGGCTTCACTCGTGCATCCGTTCCGATGTCCCCACCCTTCTTCACCGGCTTCACTCGTGCATCCGTTCCGATGTCCCCACTCCTCTTCACCCGCTTCACTCGTACATCCACCTGTGAGCGAGCTGTGGCACTGCCGACATTGGTGAAGTCTTGGGGAACGTTTGCACTGCTATCTGCTTCAGATGTATCCTGGTTTTTGTTCGAGTCACCGGTCGAGTCAGCCCTCCTTGCGCCACACCACTGGTGGACTCTTCGTCGCTGATTGGCATGTTAACATCTCGGTTCGGAGAGCTGAGCCGATGAGCCCGGGCACTGGTTGCATCTCCACAGGGTGACATGGGCGCCTGACGACGCTCCGAGGGGTCCGAGGCACCGGGGTCAGAGCCGACACGACACAGACACACCCGTCACAGAGACACAGACGACACAGAGAGCCCCGTCGCAGGATGGAGACATAGACTCGCATTCACGGTTGGTATCGTTGCATGATACTGCAGTGACCTTCTGGTTACGAATGCAAAGACGTTGTGCTGTGCGCAGTTCTTCAGCGAATTGTTCGTTATTGCGGAGCAGCCGGTACGCACGACGAGCGTAACGCTCCAGTTCCTTCAGCTGCCTTCCTCCACGTCCCCGGGACGGGGATGTGTCTGCGAGTAGCTTCTTCCAGAACGCAACAGACCCTGGCTTGTGCAGCAGATCGTTTGAGGCAATGCAAGTAGGTCTGTAGGCGAGGAAGAGGATAAAAGTATGTTAGGTTTAGATCCCCCAGGTATGGAAGAGAGGGAGTCATGGGCAGCATAATGGGCGTAACCACCGTAAATGACAGCAAGGGAATTTCGTAACGTTTTAGGCGGTACCAGTGAGGTGCCGTCCTCGAGAAGTAGCCCAACGCACTCGAATAGCAATTTGCCGTCTTCTGAGCGCCTTAGAAATGACTTGCATGTACATCAGCATCGTAAATTTGGCTTAACCCTCGCCCGTGGGGGGAGGGGGTTGGTGCACCCCCCCCCCCGCCGAGTTTTTTTCGTGGTAGCTTCCGAACGGCTCGTCGGATCGGGATGAGGTTTGGCATAGCCAATGAAGCATCCTTTGCGCACCTTTTGTTTCAAAAATGACCGGGCCAGGTCAGGTCACGGAGCTATGATGTCATAAGAGGAACAACCTCAGGTCCATTTTCTAATTAAGCCGTGTTTTCTGGCAAATTGACGCATCGTTATTGATGTTACAGGGAGTTTGAGGAATCCGTGAGTTTGCAAACTTCCTAGGGAGTTTGCAAACTCCCTGACCCATCAGTGAGTTTGCAAACTCACGGGAGTTTACAAATTCACTAGGGAGTTTGTAGACTCACTGACCGGTCAGGGAGTTTGAGAAATTCCAGAGCGATTGGGCCAAATAAAATCAAGTGTGTAAGATGAGGGTGGAATACGTGTCGTCCGTGATCTTAAAACAAAGGCGGCAAGTGGTAGGGCCTATATAACCGTCGCACGCTGACAAAAAGCTTACAGATCCTTAATTGTTTTACCGGAAAAAATGCTACTCGCGGCTATGTAAAGGGGAGAGCTTCGGAACAACGTGCTCCTCCGTTCCGTCGTTTCAATCCTCAGGAATCAGGATACTGGAATCCTTCTCCTCCACGCCGAAACCCCCACTCCGGGCTGGACAGGCACCTTTAGCTCATGCGGGCTGCTCCATTGGAGCGGCACCGCTGCTCCCGAGGGAGCGCACCCCGTAGCCGGGTGCGATGAGTGCTTGGGGGGGGGGGGGGGTGGGGGGGCTGGTCGGCCTGTCCATTCGGACGGGCTCAGCCCCGGCGACTCTGTAGGGTGTCTGCTCAGACCAATGTCTCCCCCTAATTCCTATCATTCGTACGGTTCTGAAATGGTCTTGTCAGACCGAAAGGGCCTAACCCAACAAAACAAAAAACAAACAAGCAGCGTGCGCCAGTCGCAGCTGGGCTGGCTGCCAAGTGAGTGCCAGGCTCTCGATGACACGTCTATGGCGGAGTGAGAATGGGTGTGAATAGGTGCGTGTGCCTGTACTTTAGCATAAGTGACCAACTGAGCTGTTTCTACTTTGATATATTGAGCCTGACTCTGGAATAGCCACACCTGAGTGGAACGGATCTAATTGGGACGTGAACTGAATAAATGTATGACTAAATAAAGCGGCGGTACATGCTTGGATAGATCACTGAGCACTGAGCAGTTTAAAATCAAAAAAGGTATTTATGGTGTGCATATGATCTATAAGCTTTTTGTCAGCGTGCGAGGCCCTTCAACTACTGCCGCCTTTGTTTTAACATCACGGACGGCACGTATGCCACCCACATGCTGCACACTTGTTTTTATTTGGCCCAATCGCTCTGGAATTTCGCAAACTCCCTGACCGGTCAGTGAGTTTGCAAACTCCCTAGTGAATTTGTAAACTCCCTACTCCCTAGTGAGTTTGCAAACTCACTGATGGGTCAGTGAGTTTGTGAGTTTGCGAACTCCCTAGGGAGTTTGCAAACTCACGGATTTCTCAAACCCCCTGTAACATATACATAAGCACAAACAGATCATCCACCTATGGTCGCCATGCTTTGTCCGCTACTATACAGACTCGTCAGCGGCGTAGCGGGGTGTTGTATAGCGTCTCTGGCAGACCGGGCGAAGCTGGCAGGTGGCAGCTGCGCTACCTGGGGTGGGAGGCTATTCAACAGCTCCGCGGCTTGGTACTCAAAACGCCGTTTACCGGTTTCAAGCCTCGTTCGGGGGAGATGAAGGAGATGATCCTGCCGTGTGTCTGTCTCGAAAATTTTGATTGGGGACAAACAGTGCAGCGAGGTTCTCGAGCTCTCCGTGCTTAATGACCTAGTGCGCGATCGTGAGTGTCAGGTAATCTGACATAGATTTTGGTGACAGCCAGCCAAGTCTGTCGCGCAGGTCCGAGACGTGGTCAAACTTCCGCCGTCCGAAAATTGCTCTAGCGGCAAAGCTCAAAATTTTCTGGAGTCGGTCAAATTTTTCTGAGCCCGTTACCGTACACGGTTGACGGTAGGGCAGTAGTTGATCCGTGATATGACCAGAGCTGTTACGAGAAATTTAATGACACCGTCATGGAGACAATTTCGTGCGTGAAACACTCCGATCAACAAACCAGTACACCGACGACTATCCTCGGACACATGTGCTTCCCAGGACAGGGCGCTGTCAAAGACAACACCCAGATTCCCCACCTGCGCGCATGGCTGCAACACAGAGTCACGAAAAGAGACGCTGAAGTCGGTTACTTTCCGTAAATTTTGTCAGCCGCCAAAAACCATGAGCTGTGTTTTGTTTGCGTTTAGCTTGAGGGCGTGAAGACAGCCAGTCACGGTGATTAATGCGAGCGAAGCTTTCATGCGAGAGATCTGACCGAGAGATCTGAGGTCGTCGGCTCGGCCGCTCACTAGAACCTGGGTGTCGTCCGCATATTGGAAAACGGTGGCGTCACTTGCGTATAGCGAGAGGTTGTTCGAAAATATTGTGAAGAGTAACGGTCCTAGGGCAGACCCTAGAAAGACGCCCATATTAATTGGAAGCGACCGCGACAGCAGTCTGCCTCCGGCGCCGTTAGATAGGGACACGCTCTGGATGTGTCCCACAAGAAAAGCAGAAAACCATGTGGTCTCGATCCCGTGCAGTCAGTTTTTTTTAAAGCAAAAGTTCGTGGTCGATGACATCAAAGCATTTGCTTAGGTCAAGGAGACACAGCAGTGAAAGTTCTCCCCTATCAGAGGCCGCGAGGACTTGGTCTGTGACGGACAGCAGAGCCGTCTCTGTGGAGTATCGGGGGCGAAAACCGTGCTGCGAGGAGGCAAGGAGATAGTAAATTGAGAGGTAGTGGTTAAGCTGTTCATGAACAAGGCGTTCCACATCCTTCCTGATAACGGGAAACAATGAGATTGGTCTAGGATTGATGGGATCCGAGGGGCTGCCATATTTGAAGATGGGGTGGACAGTGGAATGTTTCCAGGAATTTGGGATAGATGAAGTGGTGATGCATATGTTAGGTCCCCAGATTGTGCGTCCCTTCGTTAGGACTTCCGCGCGCCCGATAGCAGAGCCTTTGAGATATTGGCCGGTTCTGCTGAATCCCTATAACCTACCACACAGTGAGGTGAGGGCAATATTTACATGCATATATGTGGGTATGTGGAAAACCAATAGGTCAGGCGAGAAGGTATGTCTACTGCAAATGTGAAGCTGACTCGTTTTGTTTGCTTTGTCTGCCTGTTCAGATGCTGGAGTCGCAGTGTTCGGAGGACTTCCTGGTCCAGATGGGCCTGAAGCACGACTCGAGCGGCGCGCGCGGCTCGGGCGACAGCCGCCGATCCGCGACTGGCCCGCCACCTGCCGGCGCGCCGGTTCTGCCACCTACAGACCCAGCGTCGGCGGCGGCGGGCGCCGGGAGTGCCGAGGCGCGAGCAGACGGGGAGGATGGGGAGCGTGCGGAGCTGCCGCCGGCGCGCGCCGCTGACGGAGAGACTGCAGCGGACGGCAGGCCGCCGGCGGCGACACACGCGGACAGTCCCCCACAGCCCGACACAGACGGGACAGGGACAGAGAGTGCGGCCGACCGAGCAGGGTCCGGTCCACCGGGGGAGGCGGGGCCACCGCCCGAGCAGCCTGAGCCAGACAGCGCCGCAGACGGGCAGCCTGAGCCAGACAGCGCCGCAGACGGGCAGCCTGAGCCAGACAGCGCCGCAGACGGGCAGCCTGAGCCAGACAGCGCCGCAGCCGAGCAGCCTGAGCCAGACAGCGCCGCAGACGGGCAGCCTGAGCCAGACAGCGCCGCAGACGGGCGGCCTGAGCCAGACAGCGCCGCAGCGGACCATCCTGAGCCAGACAGCGCCTCGGTGGCACAGCCTGCGGCCGGCAGCACCACAGCCGAGCCGGCGGCGGCCGTGGACGCAGCTGGAGTTCCGGAGCAGCGGTCGGAACTGGACACAGAGCCGGACGCGGACGGCGCCGCGGCCGGCCAGCACGATGGACCGGGCGGCGAGGAGCAACCGCCGGGGCCGGGGGAGACCGCGCCGCCGCCAGCCGAGTAGTGGGACCGGGGAGCGCGGACAGAGACCGCAGGGGACCACCGGGGACCGCGGACAGAGACCACCGGTGGCCGGTGGCCGGAGCGGCCGGCGGCCTGTGCGGCGGTTCGCTGTCACTGGTGTCACCTCTCGGAGACAAATGTGTGGGGCGGTTGCACTACTCACATTGCCGCTGCAGTCGGTAGATAGGTCTCCTGCGGTGTGCAAGGAAACAGATGACTCTGTTAATGACTAACGCCCATTGTATGAGCTCACAGCCATCGCACGGCCGAACGTTAACCTGCAGGATTCGCCGCCTTATGATTTGGTGTCGTAGTTTATTCGTTGTCAATATGCAAAGATCGATGCTCTTTCATTGTTGTTAGCCGTTGGAAATGCTGCTCCAGTAGTTGGGACAACTCCTTATTTCCCATATACCTACGGTACGTATTTTCGTGTTGGTATGCTTTCCTGGACATAAATATCAATAAATATGTTTGGTCATCCATTATATTTTTTACCGTTCTATACTTTAGCTGCGTACCGAGGGGGATATCCGCCTCCCTGAGGTTCTCTGTTAATAGCGGGAAAACCACGCCTCTCAGCGCCGCAATATTTGGCATGAGTATTCCCCCATCAGTTTTACACATGGTGTGCAAGTTACCTTTCAAGGTCACTTCGAATGACCCGACCTCAAATCACTTTTTTGCAGCATTGTCACCGTGTGAGGGCTACAGTAGATGACGGAGTCCTTTGAAAATTGCAAGATGTAACGAGGTTGTTTCTAGCTACAATTTGGATGTCTCAGAATTTTGATATCGATGAACTATCGTCATCTCAATTTCTTAACCCCCTTTATAAGTCAAGAAGGAAAATCAGCTGCTTGTCTTTTTTCACGAAAATGCGTCAGAATGGCCCAACTCACCATAAATGACTTCATATAGGTACGATCACCCTTGACTACATTGAGGCCTTTTTTGCTATTGGGCAACTGTTATAAGGTCATGGGACGTTATCAACGGTCACCAAAGGGTTTTTTTTGCTAATAACTTCTTACACGAGCGAGATTCAGCCGCGCGAATGGTCTCATTGTGTTCAGTTTGTCAAGGCGCACCGACTGATAGGGAAAGACGGGGGAACACCAACCCCCTTAACCCTATTAGTGGCAGGCTCCTGGCTACCCCCTATTAGTGGCAGGGGGGGCTGTTTACGACCCCCCCTTGATATCTCGAGATCTAACGGGCCGATTTTCAAAATTCAAACGGCATTCGATTTCGCTCAACGTGATCTACATTTCTAAAAAATAAAAATTAAAAAATGTCAATAGGGGGGGTAGAGGGGGGTAAAAACGGGCAAATTGCAGATACATTTTAGACTGTTTATCACGGCCAGGTTTCTGAACCAATCTTAACGCAACTTTTGCCGATCGATAGAGAATGAACCAGGAATTCACATGGATCCTAAAAATATGCATTTTCAAAAATCATAGGCGGATACAGATCATTGAGATTGGGGGTACACAAAAAGTATAGTAAATAAGGTTTTTGTTGGTACTGTTTCTAAAAAGGGTGGTAATGGTCTTGTTATGTTATAATTTTCTTATGAGAGAACGACTAAAATTGTATTGGTAATGCATAGGCGGTGTCAGGGCACCTATGTTGGGAGGTAAAACATAACCCCCCTTTTTGGACGCCTGGATCCGCCTATTATAGCAAAAACGTGTCAAAAGAGGATGCACAATAACTGTATATGTTATCACATGATACCTTTTATTCACTGTTCGTAAAACTGGTGCAGCGTCGTGATCTTCGCCCAAATGACTCGCTTCACGAATAGGACCCCCCAATTCCCAGTGCTCTGGAGCCGCCCCTGGTAAAGTTATGAACTTGAAATTTTCAGGGAATGTGCCCAATTTAGTTTTAGGAAAAGTCAGAAAATTTCAGCATCGTAGCTTCAGCGGTTTCGGAGATATTCCCGAAAAACCTGAGGGGTGGATAAAAACAACCCCCCCTGCCACTAATAGGGTTAACCCGCGCACCGTCGGACGGGGGTCTGCGGCTGCGCCAACTTACAACCGACGGGGGTGGGGCGGACGAACCCTGAGATCTCGAGAACAAAGCAAGCAAGGTAGCAAGGTAGCGATAAGCAGTAAACGGCATGGGATACGCACGTTCAAGGTCTACAATTTTTACCGAGGTCATTTTCAGGTCAGGTCAAAGATGACGTCACAGGGGTCAAAAAGTCAAAATGGCGGCGCTAGATATGAAGATAGTTTTTCTCGGATAACTTTCGAACTAGCCAAGCTAGGAACAAACTAAGGGCATCATCATGATCCTCTCATCAATCCGCATCCACCAATCATATATATATATATGTTGACCTCGAAAGGTCAAGGTTAAAGGTTGACCTCAGGCCACGTGACCTCGAGGTCATCGTGTATATCATTCGATGCGCCTTGACGAGCTGAATACAATGAGTTCGTCCGCGTGGCTGTATCTTGTTCCTGTGAAGAGTCTGTTATTGGCAAAAAACCTTCGGCGACCTTTAATGACGTCACATGACCTTACAGCTGGTCAACAGCAAAACAGTCCACTCCTCAAGGTAGTGAAGGCTGATCGTATCGGCCCCCGCCGAAGTTAGCTGGTAGCACTGCTGCTCCACGGCGTACATTTCCTACCAGCCCATAGGGTTTACATGTTAAATGGCCTGTTTTCGGCGAGCGATATCTCGGTCAACCTTTGAAGGAATCAAGGGTTCTTAGTCTCAAATGATAGATCGATTAATTTTCTTTCGACAATTCCTCTACCATTTTTCACGAAACCCAGCCGATCTTCTACGGCGTACAGGGTAAAGATTTCTCTGCACGCCAGCACCCGCGATCCGCCTCTCCGTCGTCGGCGCGCGGTCCTCGGTAGCGCAGTCGGTAGCGTATCGGGCTACGGATCCGAGGGTCGTGAGTTCGAACCCTGGCAGCGCCGCGTGATTTTGCCTAGAATTGAATGATGTAGATTCTTGAATGTTTGCATTATCAATTATTAATAGCTAATTGAATGTATCTGCCCACTAATCGGCCCCTGAAACCTGTTATTTAAGAAATTTAAGAAATGAATGTCACGTGCGCGTCATGACTGCTAACCATAAGCGCTACCATATTCTAGTTTCAACTAACTTTTTGCTAGTCCCGACCACATATAGTAGGTTTTCTAGTAGTTATACTAGAAATTCCTACCAAAGTTCGTCCTACCCTTCACTCAATATACCCTGGATCGTATATGAAGTCATATATGGTATATGGGGCCATTCTGACGCGTTTTAGTGGTAAAAACAGGAAGTTGATTTTTCCCCAGGGCCAGGGGGATGTCATCCCGGTTCTCCCATGTATTATTCGCCAATCAGCTTAACACTACCAGTGACGTCACTCATGGGTGAAACTTTGACATCACCATTGGGGTCCCAAACGTCCAAGGGGGCCTCCATTTAGTGGGGGCCTCCAAGCAATTAGGGGCCTCCAATTGCGGAAGCGGTAATTTACGGACCTCCTCTAAGAAATTTTCACTGGGGGACCAAAGGCTCAGAAGCCAAACCTAGGGTACCCCAAATCCAGTTTTCTCATTGGATTTAGGCCACTTATTTTTCGTCACAGCCCGGATGCCATGATTTTTTTAAAAATATTTATAAAGAAAGGGTAGGTCACCTGACCTTACTCATGGATCCAGGCCAGCAGGATGACATTGTATGTAAATATCCCCCGCGTCGACCGAAATCGACGAAAATTTCTGGCTTTTTCACTTTCGACAATAAAACAAAAAACCTTTATTATAAAAAAAAGAATTTAACGGCACAGCATTGCGCAAGGAATCTAACCGACCCCAGAAAGTGTGAGGGCTAACCCTCGCCCGCACCTGGGGGGAGGGTTGCCACCACGGGCGAAGGAACGTCATGAAAAGCGGATGGGCCACCCTGTCAAGGGGCCTCCTTTTCCAGGGGGCCTCCTATTTTCAGGGGCCTCCAACTTTTGTCTCGTCCTGCTGGCTGCTTTCAAGTATGACCTCCAAATCTAGCTTCTGATTCTGAGATCGGGCAGATGTATCCAGGGCAAGGCCCTATATACCATCCAGGGGCGTAACCGCTTAAGCGAACAGTGCGAAAAGTCCGCACCATTTTTAAAACTTATTCCCCCTCCGATTTTTTTTTTTTAGAATCTATTTGCCGCAAACGGCGCATGACCCCTGAAAACCCTTACACAAATGTCTTCCTCGTTTCCCAGGTGCCCCCATTAGCTTCATAGGCGCCCTCTTTGGCATATAAGCGCCCTATGTATAGTCATCAGAGACATCCCTATATGTCCCACAGTCGCATACAATGTCGCATACAATGCATACAATGTGCGCTTATCATAGGCGTCTCTCTTTTATGGACACTTGAAGGCGCCTCTCTTTGCCATGCCGGCGCCCCTGTTTCTTATGAATGCACCCCCATGGCATTGATCAATTGCAGTCTGCAGACCTCTACTGCATGTGGACGCCCATATATGTAGGCCTCAGAGGCGCCCCTCTTTCGCATTGAGACGCCCCTTTAGAAAGTTGACGAGCAGAGCCTCGCCAGGCTCCCAAAATGCAACCACTGTCACCTTGCCGTCTGACTTTAACACGTCGCACACATTTGGTGGCCTTTACTCAATGTGCTTCCACTTGTGCAACTCGGTCACGCCCTGAGGGTCAATGTGTGACACCCACAATCCCTCCACGGTAACAAGTAGTTCAATGAACTCTTTTGGATCTTCGATATAGGGGCCAAAATTTTCGCGTTACGCCTCCTTTCGAGTTTGCCTTTCCTCTGGAGTCAGCAAACGGGGGATGCATCTTGCAGAGATCTTAAACATATTAATACGCTGTCGAAGAATGGCTTTGAGGAATCTGATAGACAACTCCGCTTCTGCTGCGTTGTTTCAGACCAGAACATTTGTCATTTTTCACAAAGAAGTGCTTATTTTTCATATTTTCTTGAGTCAATGCTGTTGATGGCTGGCCACTGCGGGGGTGACCATTAATGATCTGTTGACCAAAATTGAACAGAGATGCCCACTTTTTGACGCTACTGTAAGAAAGACAAACCTCAACATGTGTTGGCACTAGCTTTTCGTGAATAACGTTTGGTGCATTTTTCTGCAATACATGAACCAAATCACTGTTCTATTCTGGGCGTCACCCATTCTGACCGGGAATAGCAAACTATGTTACGATTAATTAGCAGCCTGAACCAATCACAGGACAGATTGGTTAATGACTACGTAAGTGGACATCCCAATAACACATCATTGAACACACCGCGTTGCAGGCCGAAATTCCAACTCCTTCATGGTTGGGCCGAGAACTTTTTGAACGCCCCTCGTATTTTATTCGACACCACCACAATTTATTCAAACAAAATTTTAAGCTTCGCAGTCAAGAGCAACATATTTTTTGGGAAGACACGAATCCAATGATACCAAATTTTACCTCATCAGGC